GTGTGTGTGTGTGTGTGTGTGTGTGTGTGTGTGTGTGTGTGTGTGTGCTGTGCATACAGATCAGTGTGGTAGATATTGTGAGGGTGCTGGGATTTAGATGACTCCTGAAGCAGATCCCCACCCATTTTGACAGGCTTGATTTATAATCTGGAGAATTTCAGTGGTCTGGAACCAGCTTGAAGTTGCCTTCTCCAGGATGTGTTCTCTTCCCCATTCTACAAGAGTGCTGTTTGGGGGAGGAAAGGCTGGCAACAGGGAAGGAAGGACAAGGAGATATTAGATGCAGTAATAATGGCTTAGAAGCTCTTGTCCTGGTGCTCCCCACCTCATCCTGGTGCTCCCCACCCCGGTTCTCCCTAACTTAGTCCCAAGAAGATGGGGTCTAGAGTTGAGAAGGCTAGAGGTCTTAGAGTGGTCTGAAGATTAAGATTTATGAGATGATGCCTTAAACATCAGGGGTGAGGTGGTGGTGGTGGTGGTGGTGGTGGTGGTGGTGGTGGTAAGCAGGAAGCTAGATCTCTGATGTAGAGAAGTATCTCTAACTGAGTTTTATACTCTCTTCTTTCTTTGCCAGGGTGGGGACCAGAAAGTCCCCTCCACAGAAGGAGGGAGGTATTAATTCCATTAATTTTCACGAGACCTTTATAGAGAACCCCTTTGTCACCACTTTTTAGACACCCAGGTTTGAGGGGTGAGAGAAAGAGGATATGGAGCCCCACTGTGTTCACCAGCACCCAGGCCTTTATTGGACCAGGACCCATCTCTTCCTAGTCAGAAGGATCCTGCCTGTTGGTACAGTGGTGTGTGCAAACCCAGGGTCCTTGCATCTGAGACACAGGTGGACAGCCAGCCTCCCAGAGGGACTCATTTCCCATCCTGTTCTAAATGTCTTGTTTTGTGGTTTGGTACTTGTGGATTATGGTTTGCATCTGGAGGAACCCCAAGAGCCTGAGATCCTCATACTTGCTCATGGGTCGTTTGTTGACCATCTGATCAGGGGGCCAAGAGTGGAGGGACCACATTTAGCTTCTTGATGTGGGAGATCTGCTAAGCTTTAACTGAAGGGCGGGCAGTATCATGCCCAGGGCTGACCCCAGAATGTCAGAGGAAGCCACTAGAAATGGGCACATGAGCTCGGCTCCATCCCTAGTTGTCTCAGAAATTTCTCCCTGGGGTCTCTCCATGCAACCTGGCCTTCTACCTGGGGGCTCCCTGGCTTCTCCTGTAGAGGACAGCTATTGGGGAACCCAATCTTAAGACCAACTGCAGGTGAGGGTGGGGCTTTGTGCTCCCTTCCAGGGGAGGAGCAGGTTTAGGGTCCAGTGAAATGGACCCTAACTATAAACCCTGGGGTACCCTCATTTTTCAGATAAATACATAAAACCCTTGGTTGAGTCTAAGTAAGGGCCTCAGTTTTCAGGGGTATACTATCATTTTCCAGGACCAAGACCCTTTTCATGACAAACCTTACTTTATTCCATCCCTAAGTACAGCCCAAAGTATACTTTTACGGGCTGAGTGAAAAGACCTCTCCCGCAGCGGTTCCTAATGGATCAGCTGGCAGAGCCACTACTCTGGGATGAGGTAACTGGGGGTGGGGTGGGGTGGGGTGGGGTGGGGTGGAGGGATTGTCCCATGAAGCCCAGCCACCTCTTGCCAGATCCAAAAGAGGCACATTTTCAAGAAGTTACAGGAAAAGACTAGTGAGGTACAAAAACATCCGGGCATTTTAATTATATGGAAGAGTCCTATGTGCCCTGGGCTCCACTGCTGTGGAGACAAGACCTTCCACGGGTTTCCTGGGAAGTGGGAGAGAGGCTTATGGGGAAAGATCATTCTGGAATGGGAAGAGTCCCTGAAGACTCTGGGAAAAGTCAGAAACGTTGAGGAGAAAGAGAAGCAACTTTGCATAGAGTCAGGGATGGTTCTATGGCCAGAGCACCACCCAAACCCAGTAAGGCTGGGGAGGCATGGGAGAGGACAGTCGCCATTTTCAGAAACTAAGTTCCCTGATCCTTACTAAGTTTTTTCTTCTTTGTTAACCTCGGGGGTTTTATACCTCAGTTCTTCCTGTGGCTGCTTCAATGGGGATAAAAATCCAATACCCCAGCTTTCCTCTCCACAAAACAAAGTACCTAGCCCAAAGCAAATGGTGCTCTGGGTGGATTAGTGTGGGGAGCTGATACAGAACCACCCTTGCTCGTCGGTGGAGGCAAAGGGGCCAGGGATAATGAGCTAGGACCTGGCCTGGCACTGGAGGGTACGTGTAAAGTGTAAATAGCCACTTCTCTCTAGGAGCAGAAATTAGAGGTTACCCCCTTTTTAGTTTCCAGGACGCCTGTACTGTACTTCAAGGTCCGTTTTTTATTTCCTAAGCTGGAGGATCAGAGGTCACGGTCAGCAGTGACTCTTAGGGAACCCACTTAAAGCTGTCCCTATTGAGGGGTTTTGTAGCCACAAGGTTTGCTAAGGTTGGCCAGGGTGCGTGCTTAGAGTGTCTGGACTTATCAAGAGGCCCCTGACCTGTGGCCTCTGACCTGTGGCCCCACACTTAAGGCACACAGGCAAGTAGAGATCTGGCCTAGCCTGCAGTCCCCCAGAGGACGCACCCACTGGGCTCTATTCTGGGAAATAGCGTTTCAGGTGCTGGAGTTCAGAGCCCCGGCTGAGGCTCTGGTCACCAGCCTCCGAAGAGGGCAGAGAAAAGCCTCTGCCTGTCCTCAGCAGCCAACCCTGGGGCATGGGGAGAGGGAGGCTCGGAAGGGCCTGGCTCTCTTTCCCCGAGTACATTCTGGGATGGAAGGGAGATGGTGAGAAGCCTTGGCTCTTAAGGGATCCCCTGTTGGTGGAGGGGATGGAGAGAACAGACAAGTACCCAGAAAAGCCAACCGAGTGAGCCTGGAACTCTGGGATTGAAAAGGATCCCGTTCCGGGAGAAAGCGTAAGCGCCCAGAATACGGGGTCTCAGGACCTGATGATGTTTGTGGGCTGTGCTCGATGAAATAGGATGAGGGCGGTAGTGCAGATTCTCCAGGGAGAATTTAGGGTCAAATCGATACCCCCATTTGGCTTCCAGGATGGCCAATTTTAAAGCAGATTAGATTACGTTGTGGCATTTCAAATAAAACAGCAATTTCAGAACCATGAGCAGGTCAGCAACTCTCGGGAGCAACGGACCCGACCGGCTTGGGATGCAACGGGGGAGGGGGACCTCAGAACTGAGGGCCCGGCGGAAGTTTGTCCTCGGGCTTTTGTTGTTGTTGTTTTGTTTATTTGTGTGTGCTTGCCGTGTGCGTGAGTGTGTCTGCTCTTTTTTGAGATAGGATTTTTCTGTAGCTCTGGTTATCTGAACTCACTCTTGGACCAACCTGGCCTCGAACTCAGAGATCCTCCAGCCTTTACCTCCTCCACCTTAGCGCTAGGATTAAAGGCACGCTATGCCTCCCCCACTGTGGGCGGGGTTCAGGTTTTTAAGCCCCCATTTAGGGGTGTCAGAGAGGACGAATTGCGGGATTGGGGCGGGGAATGCGAGTGGAAGTAGGAGCGGAGGGCGCACGGGGTCCAGGTGGATTTTCACGTGCCTGACCTGGAGCCCTGGCGTCTATGAGTGCTGCGATTAAATTATTTGCTTTATTCCCTTGTCCCAGGTCTAGGAGACGCGTGGGGACAGCCGAGCAGAACAGGGCCTCTGGACAGCGTGGCCAAAGAGCTGGGATCCCATTTGCTGCAGGTAGAGACACGGGATAAGTGTCCTCGCCATCAGTGTCTTGCGGTGGCAGATGTGAGAAGGGTTCCCCGCGGCACCTCCAGGCCGCAGAAGTGGGGGGCAAAGGGACTGGGAACTGGGGCGCAGGGATCTGGGATGCATCTGGTCCGAAAAGACCAGGACCCAGGCATGAATCTTAGAACTCCAGAGTGCAAAGTCAGGGCAGCGATATCCACACCCTGTACCCCGCCAGTACCACACGAGTTTCTAGTCACCCAAGGCCTGGGACACACGACGATGCTCGGAGCGGGACTAAGTCCTTGGCACTTTTGCTTCTTTCGGTGACAGACCTAGACCAGTCACTGCTTTGGAGACCGAGCTGGATTGATGGCCTCGCAGCTCCCTAGCTTTGCAGGAGCTGAGGTGACAGAAGTGGAATGCGAATCCTCATCTCTTTTTGCTCCCCAACCCCACACTACTTTCGCTTCTTTTCAAAACTTTTTCACTTCGCTGCAAACCCAGAGCTCCCCATTTTATTCTGAGAGGGAAACTGAAGACATGGAAATTGTAAATAACATCCACAGGGTCGCAACCAGAGTTGGTCCAGTTCTGTGGCCCATATCAATAATTCAAATATGGGGTGTCCTCAGGCATTGGGCTCCCCAAGCCTCTATCACCATCTCGACTTCACGCGCTCATCAGGGTTACGGTTGTAGCTGGGCAGCTCTGGAGCCCGTGGCCACTTCCACATCAGCGGCTGAGGTAGCTGAGGACAGTGCCGCCTCTCTCCCATCTTAAATGTCCGCCTCAGAATCCTATCAACGGTGCGATTCATTCCCGTACTCCTGTCATTTGTCTCTGCCACCGAAAAATGCCCACCGATGGCTATTTTGCATTTCCTTCCTCTATTTTGTGTTTTCTTAAAAAAAAAAAAGTTCGCGGAAAGCCCTAGTGGCTTAGGTGAGCCAACGACCAGCAAACAACAACACAGTCCTCCAGATCTTTGAACAGCTTTGCCACAAATCCTGGGTGTAGCCTTCAAACTGCACATCCTGGGGAGGTCGGGTGTTATTAGCGAACTTAGTGGCGGCCAAGTAGGGTGGCAGCCGCGAGCCTGCGGACTCCACGGTCGGTCGGGTCGGTCGCAGTCAGGAACCGGCTGTTTTGCGTATTTTCAAACACCTTCAATATAGTGACATTCATGTCAGGAACATCTAAGGAGAATCCCGGTGGGTAGTGTGAATGAATGCCCTAGATGTCTTCAGCGTGGGTAATTTCTTAGTTGGTGAGACTCCACACTTTCTTTGAGAACAAATTTTTGTTTGTTTGTTTGTTTGTTTGTTTGTTTAAGTTACTGCAGCCAACTTTCAATTTTTAATCGTAACTTTTTAAATGTCCGCTCATTTCCTTATATACAGTGAGAAATCCATTTGTCATTTCTTAAACAAATTTCGAGTCCAGCATTCAGATTAAAACATTAGAACTTGATCTTTGGTTTTCATATATGAAATGTCACTGATTCTGTTTGGAAAAATACAACATATCAGTGTTAAAAACGAAGAAACGTTTTTAAAAGTGATTTTTACCCATAGTGTAATGAAGCTTAGACGGCAAAGAATTTTGGTAGCAAACTTTGATACAGCAGAAGGTTATGAATATCTTCACATTTTAATTCTCCTTCACTCTTTTGACCATTCCACCCCTTTAAAGGAGTGTTTTTTTGAAGAAACCCAACAGTAATCTGGTTTCAATTACATGCTGTAAAAATAGAATTCGTAGCCAGAAATTAATTTGGGATATTTTTATGGGTGTACAATTGTGAGTTTGTATGGAGCTTTTAGCAACTTTATTGTCTCCCTTCTTTAAAGTTCCTGATCTTAAAACATGAATGAGTACATACAGTATAGTTTTTTCTTTTAAAAAAGTATTTAGTCTTTTTTGTCCTTGATGGTGCGGTTATTATTCTCTTTCTTGTCTGGATCGCTTTTTATAGTCTCACATTATTTCTGGAAGGTTAGCCAACTCAGACAGAAATCAGAATTTCATTGGGTTCGTTTGCATTTTTTCAGAAGTCCGATACTCTTTTCCTCTTGACTTTGGCAAAGGTCATTTGATCTCTTTCAAAGACTAAATGCTCGATTCTGTAGACACGGTCTGGTAGAATAATCGAACATTTTGTTTTATTTCCTAGTGAATGGCAATGGTAGGAATTTATTATTCTAACGGTACTTAGGGGTAACTAGAAAACCGTGGCAAATAAAGCGTTGGTCCTAGTGGTATAAGCCTCTGCCAGTTCCCACATTAAGTAGCCTGTGGAGCCATAGATGCTCCCCTAAGAACCATAGAATGCCGGATTCGGATTCGTTCTAAGTGCTAAATAAGGCGAAACAATAAAGCCACGCCGTTCAAGCGGAGCTGGTTAGGACTTCTCAAATGTTTTGTGTAGTCTCTGTACTGTGGGTGTGAGATTGTTTTAAAAATGCATTGAAAGCATTTGAGAGCCTGGCTTGGGAAACGAGCTCCAAGCCTTGTTACCTGCAGTTCTTATGGCCCTGGGCTTTCAGTCTCTCAAGTAACAAATATGCACATAGATAGTTTTGTCTCAGGGCCCTAGGCATGCTAAGCAAACACCCTCCCCCCCAAAGCAATTACCCACCCCTCCTTCTCATTTTAATAGACTACTCCAGTCCAGAGTCTTCTGGTTGCTGGATTCCCTGCAAGATATCTAACTGCAGCCTCTCACACTGCCTCTTTCTCTTTACAGACGCTAGACGGATTTGTGTTTGTGGTGGCCTCTGATGGCAAAATCATGTATATATCTGAGACTGCTTCTGTCCATCTGGGTTTGTCCCAGGTAGGTATTGCCGGATTCTACGGACCATTGAAATATTAAATGTTATCCTGACAGCGTTGCCCAACCTGTTTATGTATGCTCTTATGAATGAGCATAATCTGTTCTTGTGACATCCCCTTCATGGGCTTTCCTCACCTTACATTTTACAGTGTTTCCTTTCTTTTTCCTTTGAGGTTAATGTCAGTATGTCTCAGTGGTGGTCAGCCCTGTTCTGAGATCACTTTTTACAATCTTTTTAAAGTCAGATTTCCTGATCTGTCACTTAGTAATCTGAGGTGGTACCAAAAGGAACTTTCCTAAGAGGGACCTTTCTGTCCATGCTCACTGTTTTGCCTGTGGTACCCGCATTGCTGTGGATCATGAGGCAAGCTCTCTTTCAACCTGGGTTTTGTGTAGCACGTGCCCTGGGGAGACTAAAAGGGAAGGGTAGGTTCATCGGTTGTTCCCATGGAACTCAGGATCATTTTTCCTGAGGTTTTTTTTTTTTTTCTCCAGTTCGGTGGTTGCTTCAGTAAACATTTTACACTCTGTGACAGAAAGCCATAAAATTCAGATCACTACTGTTTGCAAGGTCCTGATTTCTTCAGAACTTTTCCATAGTGCCATTCCTTAGAAGAAGAACTGGGCTCAGCGTGTCTGTCCCGTGAGTTTGCTAGGTAGCTAAAGGCACATCTGGCCAGGGAGAGGCTGAAAGGTCACTCCTATTCACTCCACCCATGGCTCTGGTCACAAGACACATTGAAAAAAAAAAAAAAAAAACATTGTTCTCTGACCGATTTCATGTGTGTTTAATGTGTCTGACTACTCTATCCCTCACTGCCTCTTATGCCACACGTTACTATGAACACCTTTCCCACATTCCTATCTGCCTTGTTTTCTTTTGTGGCCCACTGGGTTTTACTGGAGGCTTCTGTGTGACTGCTGGCCTGAAGCTACTCACTGGAGCCTGGCAGACTCACAGGGAGTAGACAAGTAAAGGCACAGACTCTCCTCTCAGTGATCAGTAACCAATAGATCAGCACTGGGGGGTAGGCTCTCCAAGCCCCTCTCTCACCCATGCCTGTATTCCAGCCTATGGGTTGATTGGCCCATTCTGTGCAGATCCAGCACAAAGGCATTTTACAGCAGCAACCACAGCTGCTGTGAGCTCAGGATTGCAGTTGTGCGTCATCTAGAACAAGGGTTTGCAGCCTTTCTTCATTGTCTGCCTCTTGTGCTCTTTCCAGTCCCCTCTTCCACAGTGCTCCTGATCCTTAGAGAGGAGGTGTGGAAATGTCCCGTTTAAAGCTGGGACGTCAACATCACTTCTTATTCTCTTGAGCAGCCATGAGTCTGCGCAGCCACCATCCTCCCAGTGCAAAGAGACGCTTCTCTGACTAAGGCGGAGAGGAACATTTGTCTATGGCTATAAATATGAATATTAGAACCTTGTTTGGGACGTCACAGTTTTTATATAGGTAGAAACTTAATGTTTCTCTACATTATGAGTTGTCAGTGTAGCTAATGGTGGAAGATACTAGAATTAGTGATAAATATGGAGAATGGGCTCTGAGAGAGGGCTTCTTCCTGTAGTTAAGCAAAAATGAGGCTTCTGTTTTCCAGTTTCTCCTTCTCCTTTCTCCCTCCCTCCCTCCCTCTTCTCTTCCTCCACTCTTCTACCCCTTCCCCTCTTCCTCCTCCTCTCTTCTTTCTTAAAATACACCAGCTCTTCTGAATACAATTCACTAAGACTTAACTCTTGTACCTACTTGACTCATAGGATTGACACACTTGTAGGACTGGAAATACTGTTGACAACATGAGATTTACTAGTCTACAGGGCTGGGAGAGGAGCTCAGAGGTACAGCAGTAAGTGCACTAATCCCCAAAACAGGAAAGAAAAGGGAGTGGGAGGAAGGGGGGAAGAGGGAGAGGGAAGGAGAGGGAGGGAGGGAGACAGGGAGGGGAGAGGGAGAGAGATGGAGAGAGGAAGGGAGGCTGTATCTATAACCACATTTCTGTGGTTATAGTTCTATGAATTTCTAGAACGTCATATGCAGAAACAGTTAGGGCCCTTTAGCTGTACCCAGACTGGTTTACAATAACTCTTGACTTGATCTGTGCTCAAATGACCTTGATCAGGTGATTTTTCACTTTCATTTGTGATCTGCAAAAACTACTGTAAAACCATTGTAACGACATCATAAATATACCAAAACATTTCATGCACTTTTAGGCTGACCAATCGGCAAACTTTTAAAGTAATAAAGTCACTATTATTGAATATTAAACTTAGATCTGAGCTTCCTAGCAATCAAAACAAACCAATTTTACAGTTTTCATTGTCTGGTTAAATAGGCACTTCATGTCCTCAGAACCATAATTTAAATAATAAAGTAAGGCCTCCTACCCTCTCTGAAGGCAGGGATTGAACAACCATCTTGTAACTTATTAGCAACAGCATCTGAACCCAGGCTAGATAGAGCCTTTGATGGGTACCTGCTAGAGCTGGGAGGTTATTTGGAATGTGGTGGCTCTGCCTAGGTCCTGGGGGAAGCCTAGGGCTATCCACTGCTTTCAGTAGGTGGCTTGGTCCACCAGGCAGCGCCTCCTGGTCATTTTTTTGTTTCCATGTGGGAAATAGAATGGATTTGACTATGAACACTCTAATTAAGAATGACCAAAGCATGGGCTAGGTGACAGATCTGCGTCCTGTTCCTGATTAACTCCGCTGAAGAAAAGCTAGGCAACCTCACGAGCTGTGTATCACGTTTCCTTTTGATCAGGCCTAGAAATAAAACTTGGTAGCATCACTTTTGAAAGGGGAGAGGAACCACATGCTACTATGTTGCAAGAAGGCTGTAGGGGGAAACCTTTTGATTCTGTATCCCCTGAAGAAAGATTAAATAGAGTGAAGGCGGACCAACTGCGCAGAACAACTGGTTTCTTCCTGATTCCTATGTGAGGCTGTGAGTCCTAGTCAGCAACATTAAAGACAATAACGCTGCTGCTGCTGCTGCTGCTGCTGCTGCTGCTGCTGCTGCTGCTGCTGCTGCTGCTG